CATAAGAGTGCAATCAGCAACTAACCTCTGGACAGGGTCACAGTAAACTTGCTCTAGTTTTCTCGCATCCTGATCACAAGACAGAAGAAGATGGCTTGTAAGGCAACAAAATTTCCAAACCTACCAACGCAAGGCTATGTTGCGCGGACTCTCCAAAATGTAGCCGCACCCGTGTCGGATCCTTCAAAAATGCACTACTTTTGGAGGATCCGACACGTATCCGGCCACATTTTCGGAGAGTCCGAGCAACATAGACGCAAGGTGGTAATATCTGGTACAAGTATTTACATGTCCCATGCAAACTACAACCTAGAAAGAGGATTTCCAAATTTCCAGCCCCATAATGGAATACAAACAACCAATTCCCAACAAAACATACAACAACAACAAACCCAGCTTAATCCCATACATGGGGTCTGGGGAGGGCAGTGTGTACGCAGCCTTTTTTTTTAAAAACCTACTCTAGCTACTTACCTCTTGATACGAATAGAAGAGGACACCATCACGGCAATCACCAACAGCAATTCTAGTGAAGTGTGCAGTAAGAGTCATGATCATGAAACGAGTTCTCCCTACTGCTAAGCGTCTGACTCTTTGAGCATTATCATTTGGAAAACCACAAACATAAAACTGCGGGAAGCATGAAATATATTTTAGTAAGAAGTAACACTAACTTTGCGAGAAAGTCAGTATATGAGAGTTATTTCAACGTACACAGTTGCCCGCAGAGGCCAAGAAATAACGATCAAGGTATGGGCAGACTGCAAGCACCATTCCAGGCCAGGTGGTTGAATAACCTAATCTTAAGTGCCATGCCTCACTTTCCTCAAGTTTAATCCCGTCACAGCTGTTATCGTCAGGACTGCTACAAAGACTACTGCTAGACAGCTGCTCAGCGGCATATCCACCAATCTCACGGAAAGGTGAAGTCCGTTGAGAAGACGATCCAGCCCTTGAAGAAAATGCAATTGACCCACTATCCGAGTTTTGCATTTGCTCGATGCAAAGAACTATTAGACGGCCCTTTGTGCTGTAAAAAGTATCTTTATTAAAATAATACAAAAACATGCAATTCATTCATACACTTCACACAAACAAAGATCTACCCAGATAAGATAGATTATTGGGAAAGAAAATATAAGCAAAAACAATGTATGCTTTGTAGATTTATGGAAGTAAAATGTTATAACTGGCGGATGGCACTACCTTTCAGCTTCACCACTAGGCATTATAGCTGAACCAGTAGAGAGACTAGTTCCAACAACAAGAACTTGTTCGTATCCAACTTTTACCAACTCCATGCATTTTCCAATCTCCCCTGGCTCAAACTTAAAGGAAGACAACACCGATCCGCTGAGAGGATCTACGCAACAGACATCAGATGAACATAAATCATCACTGAGATCAGTCCGTAATACAAGCAACAACCTGCTGTCACTATGATATAGAACCTTTCGAGGAGTGCCGCCAAAATGAAATTTCTGCACATTAAGCCGTTTACTAGGCACCATCTCCACCTGAAACAAGAAAATAGAGGACCACTTTGACTGACTATTAAAGGTGTAAAAAGACCAAGATCGATATATACAACTAAACACAGTCAACCTCCCTCATTCCATCCTTTGCTTTTCGCTTCTTTAGTTTTCATTCTCTATTATTTTCTTCTTCTTTTTTTGGGTGTGATTGTGTGTTT